ACAGGAAGCAAGAGCAAGTTGACAGTTTATTATAGTCTCACAGAATCGGCAGTGCAAACAGGTGGAGACAGTGACGCAGGGACAAGAATGGTCAGTATCCGTGGTGAGGTGAAGTGAAGACACGGTGAAGAGACGAACGTTGAACTGGAATCCAGACGACAACACGGGAACACAAGGCAGGAACTCGACACCGGTACACCATACACGAACCACATGAAACAACGATCTGACAAGGATGAAAGAACAGCGGTGAGTATAAATAGAGTGGTGATGATCAACTGCAGCTGGTGATGTGATGATGAACAGCTGGAGCGGATCAGGTGATGTCATACAGACACACCTCTCACACACGTGCATTCATACAACAACAAAAACACAAGACTAGGAGGAAACAGAGAAAACGTCTACCGTGACAGTACCCCTCCTCCTAAGAACGCCTCCTGGCGTTCTCAGACTCCCTTACCTGCCGATTGTAATCATCGATAAGAGAGTGATCCAGAATGTCTCTAGCAGGAACCCAACTCCTCTCCTCCGGACCGTAACCCTCCCAGTCCACCAAGTACTGGAATCCGCGTCCCCTCCGTCTAGAATCCAGAATACGTTTGACCGAATAGGATGGTTCCCCGTCTACGAGTCGCGGCGGTGGGGGAACCGGGGCTGGCGGATTAATGCGTGCATAAAAAACGGGCTTAACTTTGGATACATGAAACACGGGATGAATTCTCCTGTACGCAAGAGGAAGTTTGAGGCGGATTGCCACCGGACTAACGATCTTGGTGACAGCAAATGGGCCAATAAATTTGGGAGCAAGTTTATTCGAGACGGATCGAAGCGGAATGTTCTTTGTTGAAAGCCACACTTTGGAACCGACGACGTATACGGGAGGCTTCCGCCGGTGGCGATCGGCTTTGGCCTTGGTGCGCGCTCCCACTTGGAGTAGAGTCTCGCGGGCTCTAGTCCAAGTGCGATGACACCTCTGGATGAAGGCGTGGGCGGAGGGGACCGCGACTTCGGATTCCAGACTAGGAAAAACAGGTGGCTGGTAACCTACGCTACACTCAAACGGAGAAAGGCCCGTAGATGACACTGGTAACGTATTGTGGGCGTACTCCACCATAGACAGTTGTTGACTCCAAGAGGAAGGATTCTTGGAAACCAAACATCGCAACGTTCTTTCCAAATCTTGGTTGGCTCTCTCAGTTTGACCATTGCTCTGGGGATGGAACCCAGAGGACAGACTAACAGTCGCCCCCAGCAATTTACAAAACTCTCGCCAAAATTTGGACACAAACTGGGGACCCCTGTCGGAAACCACGTCCATCGGGAGGCCATGTAACCGAAAGACGTGGTCTACGATCGTTGCCGCTGTCTCCTTAGCTGAAGGCAATTTGGTAAGGGGATGAAATGTGCTGCCTTCGAGAATCGGTCCACCACAGTTAAAACACTGTGTTCCCCTGAGAGGGTGGAGGGCGGTAATAAAATCGAGGAGCGATATGGGACCAGGGTCTCGAAGGCACCGGCAGCGGCTGAAGTAACCCCTCTGGCGGTCGATTGGAAGACTTACCAGTGGCGCAAACTGAGCAAGCCAAAACAAAATCATGAACGTCGCGAGCCATACGTGGCCACCAAAATCGTTGCTTGACTGAAAAACCAGTACGATTAACTCCTGGATGACAAGCTATGTTGGAACTGTGACCCCACTGAATAACGTCCGACCGTAATTCCTCCGGCACAAACAAACGGTTCGGTGGGCATCCGGGCGGAGGCGTTACCCCTTCTAAGGCTCTCTTGACCTTCGCTTCGATCTCCCATGTGAGTGCTGAGACAAATATGGTCTCGGGTAAAATACACTCGGGAGTAGCCGGGCGTTCGGAAAAATCAAATATGCGAGATAATGAGTCGGGTTTGATGTTCTTGGAACCCGGACGGTAAGAGAGAGTGAAATCAAAACGACCGAAAAAAAGTGCCCCACCGAGCCTGCCTGGAGTTCAATCGTTTAGCAGTTCTGATGTATTCCAGATTCTTATGATCAGTCCAGACGATAAAAGGTACCCCCGACCCTTCTAACCAGTGACGCCACTCTTCCAACGCTAACTTGACTGCCAACAACTCTCTGTTACCAATGTCATAATTGCGTTCGGCTGAGGATAAACGATGTGAAAAAAACGCGCAAGGGTGCATCTTGTCGTCCACAGGTGAACGCTGGGATAACACTGCTCCTACTCCCACCTCCGACGCGTCGACCTCCACCACGAACTGACGTGATGAATCAGGGGCTATGAGGATGGGGGCCGAAACAAAGCGGCTCTTCAATTTAGAAAAAACAGCCTCGGCTGAGTCAGACCACCTGAACGCAGTTCGGGGGGAGGTCAAGGCAGTCAGAGGCGCGACCAGCTGGCTGTAATTGCGAATAAAACGCCGGTAAAAATTGGCAAACCCCAGAAACCTCAACAGGGCCTTGCGTGAATCTGGACTTGGCCAATCCACCACAGCTTTGATCTTTTCAGGGTCCATCCGCATTCCCTCGGACGACACGATATACCCTAGAAAAGGAACAGACTGTGCATGAAAATCGCATTTCTCCGCCTTGACAAAAAGCCCATTCTCTAGCAGCCTCTGAAGCACTCGTCGAACGTGCTGCACATGTTCCTGGAGAGACGAAGAAAAAATCAATATGTCATCCAGGTAGACATATATGAACTGATCGATCATGTCTCGCAACACGTCATTGACCAGTGCCTGGAAAACTGCTGGGGAGTTGGATAATCCGAATGGCATTACCAAATATTCAAAGTGCCCCCTAGGGGTGTTAAAAGCAGTTTTCCACTCATCTCCCTCCCTGATGCGAACCAAATGATAAGCGTTACGTAAGTCCAATTTTGTGAAGATAGATGCTCCCTGCAACCTCTCGAAGGCTGAAGACATCAGCGGCAAAGGATAGGTATTCTTTACCGTGATGTTATTCAACCCTCGGTAATCAATGCAAGGTCGCAGCGATCCATCCTTCTTCCCCACAAAAAAGAACCCCGCCCCCGCAGGAGAAGAGGAAGGGCGAATGAACTTGGCTGCTAGAGAATCAGAAATATATTTCTCCATGGCCTCTCTTTCAGGAATCGAAAGTGAATATAACTTGCCTTTAGGCGGAGACTTACCTGGCAGTAAATCTATAGCACAGTCATAGGGACGATGCGGAGGGAGAGAAGCAGCGCGAGACTTACTGAACACTTCCTTCAGGTCTAGATACTCGGCGGGCACGTTAGACAAATCCCCTGCCTCCTCCTGTAACACAGAAACAGGTACAGACGAACACGCAGACACAAGACAAGACTTATGACATTCCTTATTCCACTCCAGCACAGCCTTATTAATCCAGTCCACACGGGGGTTATGTTTGATCAGCCAGGGATGTCCAAGTACAACGGGTGCCAAAGGAGAGTCCAAAATAAAAAAAGAAATAGTCTCAGTGTGGTTGCCAGATGTAATCAATGTGATGTCTTCGGTGGTGTGAGAAATGGTGGGAAGTTTCTGACCGTTTAATGCATGAACAGAAATCTGGTGGTTGAGAGGTTGGAGGGGAATCTGAAATGTATGTGCAAAATTATAGTCCATAAAATTACCTTCCGCCCCGGAGTCCAACAGTGCAAAACAATCGTGCTGGTGAACTGACCATCTTAATCTAACCGGGAGGAGTGTGGAGGTAGATGTAGTCGATGAGGTCTTCCTGGCGGAGATCCCACCCGATAGTAGCCTCAAGTTTACTATCGGGCTTGGCCTTTTACCGGGCAGTTGTAAGCATAATGTCCCGCTCCTCCACAATACAGGCAGAGGCCCTGGGACCTCCGCCTCTCCCTTTCCTCCCGGGAAAGCCGAGCTCGACCCACCTGCATGGGTTCGGGATCGAAGACGGGGCTGACCACGTCCCTGCCGCTGGATCTGGGAACGTCGACTCCTCCGAAGGTACGGGTGGACGGAGCTCGGCGTTCGACCCTGGATAGCCGAGCGTCTACCCACAGAGCAAGATCTATCAGTCCGTTCAGTGTGGTAGGAAGATCCAGGGCGTAGATCTCTCTCTGGACGTGGTCAGCCAGCCCATGCAGGAACATATCCCACTGCGCCTCCTCGTTCCAGCCGCACTCCGCCGCCAAAGTCCGGAATTCTATGGAAAAGTCTGAAACCGATCTTTCTCCTTGACGTAATTCCGTCAAGGTTCTGGCTGCTTCTCTACCCGAGACCGCCCGGTCAAAAACCTTCTTCATCTCGTCGGAGAGGGTCTGGAACGAGACGCAGCATGGATTTTGTTTCTCTCACACCGCCGTCCCCCAGAGCGCTGCTTTTCCTGTCAGCAATGTTAGTACAAACACCACTTTAGCCTGTTCCGTCTCGAATGTGCGTGGTTGCAGAGCAAAATGCATCGAGCAACGGGTCAGAAATGCTCGGCAAAATGCCGGTTCACCAGAATAGTGTTCCGGTACCGGCAAGCGGGGCTCCGTCATCACGGGTCTCTCTGGGACTGTGGGGGGAACGGTCGGTGTGGGCGGCGCAGTGGGAACCTGAAGCCGTTGGATATGCTGGGTGAGCTCGGACACCTGCGTCACCAAGGCTTGCACTGCGCGACCTGTATCGCTGATCTCTCTCTGCTGGGCATCCATTCTCCTGGTGCTGTGATGAATAAATTCTTCCATTGATCTCTGCGGCGAACTCGCTGCTTCCATCTTCGGGTCAGATCGTTCTGTCACGGGATATAAACGAATGACAGGAAGCAAGAGCAAGTTGACAGTTTATTAAAGTCTCACAGAGTCGGCAGTGCAAACAGGTGGAGACAGTGACGCAGGGACAAGATGGTCAGTATCCGTGGTGAGGTGAAGTGAAGACACGGTGAAGAGACGAACGATGAATACTGGAATTCAGACGACAACACGGGAACACAAGGCAGGAACTCGACACCGGTACACCAACACGAACCACCTTAAACAACGATCTGACAAGGATGAAAAAACAGCGGTGAGTATAAATAGAGTGGTGATGATCAACTGCAGCTGGTGATGTGATGATGAACAGCTGGAGCGGATCAGGTGATGTCATACAGACACACCTCTCACACACGTGCATTCATACAACAACAAAAACACAAGACTAGGAGGAAACAGAGAAAACGTCTACCGTGACACTCAAGGCCATTAACCCACCTTTGGAAGTCACAAGGGCCCCAAGATCATTGAAAGACCGAAAATTCTGGAAAGCATCTGAATGGAGGTCTTTTTTGTTGTTTTATGCTTTGCCTGTTTTGAGTGGTATTTTGAAAAAGAAATACTGGAATCATCTTTTTTTATTAGTTTTTTCAATGCACACTCTTCTTCATGATGCCATCAAAGCAAACCATGTGGATATGGCAGAACGAGCTCTTCGAAAGTTTGTGCGTAACTTTGAGAAACTTTATGGTGCTAAAAAATGTTTCTTTCAATGAGCATTTATTAATGCACTTAGCAACAAGTGTGCGAAACTGGGGGCCGCTGTGGGCAACATCCACATTTCCGTTTGAATCTTTTAATGGAACATTGCTAAAGTTTTTCAACGGAACAACGCATGTGCTAGATCAAATAGTTAAGAGATTCCTCAGGTGGAGGGCACTCTCAGCAAAAGCAGGGACTACAATGGCAAATGCTAATGAAAACATAAGAACATTTTTTGACAAACTCCAAAAGAGATCTGCCTTAAGACAGAAGTCAAAGAAGTTTCAAGATAATATCAGAGGTTTTGGTTGCCCGAAGAAAAGTACCACATCTGTCCTGCAGAGGATGGCTATTGAAGACTTTACTGGTGACACCGTTAATTCGGGTTTATTTTATGACCGTTTCACTTGTAGCGGAGTTCTTTATCATTCCTGCAGGAGCACAACTCTTAAAAAGAGAAACAATTCAGTTGTCAATTCAGTTATGACCCTGGTGGATTTTACGTGTGAGGACAGGGCATCTACTGCATCCACCAACAACAGATTTTGTGTTTTAGTTAAAGAGCTTGCCAAGAGTGGAGGAAAGTTGTGTAGAGATGCTCAGCTAAATATATCCTCAACATTTATATATGAAGTGTCTCACACCAATAATGTGTTTGCTGTCCCTCCGCAATCACTCAAACGTAAATGTGTACTGATTAGGTCTAAGGACAAACTGTATGTCATTCCACTTCCAAACAATATGGAAAGAGACTAAAACTGACTCCTGGGGAACTACTTCTGCAGCTTTACTGATGTCAATGCCAATTGTTGTTGTTAAGCTTTATTTATGCCTAAAATTAACAATGATATGTTAAGAGTTTTTGATCACTGATTATGATATAATGTATTAAAGCAGTGAAATTATTTTTTTGGCGATGCAATATAGACAGTGTTTACTTGGCTGTACTTGTGACATCACAATCCAGTAGCTGAACTTCCTGTCCAGTAGAACAAATTTTCTTGTGTTCATATGGTGTGATGTTGGTATAAAATTGGATTGATGTTTACGTTGGACCTCTCTGTGACTTTGTATACATTTATTAAAAATACTTAAATCACAATTAGCCTTTTGTGCAGAGCATGTACACTTTATTAAAAAATGTTTTAAATAGCCTTTCAACACATTTATCATATGTTTTATTACTTTCTGAAGTAGCAAGTAGCCTAAGTGAATTGCAAACATGAAGAAATACACTTAAAAAATGCAATAATTTAACAAAGTAAAGCTTAATAATTTTGCTATGTTCTTACACAAAGTACTCCAGAAATGTATTGTAAGTAAGAGCAACATAAGTATGTTTTCTTTAAATGCACTAAAAATTCACTAAAAGTATGCTTGTGTTTACCATATTTCTTAAAAATATAATTAAGCATGTATTTATAACCAATGCACTTCTAGTGTACTTCTTAGAAATATATTAAAAGTATACTTGTGTTGAGCTTATTTCTTAAAAGTGTAACAAAGCATATATTTGTAACCAATGTATAGTGCACTTTTAGAAATATGTTAAAAGTATGCTTGATTTTCAATATACTTTTAGAAAATATTCTAAAGTACAATTATTTTTAAGTGTGTTAAAAGTTGTATTGTGAAAATAGGTAAAAAGCATGATACACTTTTAATGTATTTAAAGATAGTATTTTTTTTTTAGTATATTTGCAATGTACTGTTAAAAAAGGGAATATATTTCAAATACAATAAAGTATACTTTTTTCACTAGGGTTGGTCTATTTTGTATTGAGATTTAAAGTAGTATGAGGAGTAATATTTTATAATAAAACCATATACTTAAATAATTAACTTGTGTCATGTTTTCTATTTCAAGTCTTCTGCAACCAATGCAAATTCAGTTTCTTTATAAATGTGGTCCAAACACTCAGTTTTTGTCAACACCCTTGATATTACATTATTGGTTTATTTTCAAGTAGTTGTGTTAACACGCATGTTATTATCTCAGACCAAGTTCAGTCACATTCCCTAACATGTTGAAACAGGAATGCAAAATGATGGGAGGACTGTTCAACTGACTGATCAGGTTTTGTTATTGACTGTTATTTGCTGAGCGACAAAATCTGGTCTCTGTTATTATCTGTAGGTGCAATTAGATGTTTATTGGTTTGGATTTGTTGTGTGAGTAATGCACCCAGGACAACTGGAAATGCTGTTCATATAGCTTCGTTAGAAATTTCCCTGAATATCTATTTGCATTTCATCTGTTCCTCCCTCTGTTCCTCCCTCTGTCCCTCCCTCTTTCGCTCAATCTCACAAGGCTTTGTATTTTTCAGTTTCTTCTCTTTCTCCAGGATATTTGTCTTGTGTTTATATCTTGACGCCGTTCATACATATGGCATGTGATGACTCTTATACCGTCCAAATCATCCCTCTCCAGAACAGCCTCTACAGTCCTGATGCTCTGCACTGCTTCCACTGGGTAAGAGACTGGGGGCGGGGGCTGGGGGTGCATGGGAGGGTGGGAACTGGGATGGGGGTGTTCCTCAGATGGGATGGGACAGTTCATAAAAGGGAGCAAATCATATAAACCTCCTCGTGGAAAAAGCAGGACAGTCTTGTGATTAAACTTAAAAAAGAAAGATCGCAAAGAAAAATGTTGAATGTAAATTTGCCAAAGCCTTGTATTCACAGCCTGAAAGTTTAAGACTTGTGTAGTTTGCATACTTGGGCAGGCTGAAACGAGGTTAGAAGGTTAGATGGCTGAGAAAAAAATGAGAACTATGTAGTCCATGTACTTGTATTTTAAATACTTGCCAAGGTGTTGTCCGTTGTTGCTAAGCATGTGCAACTTTAATGGTTGCTGAAGTGTTCTGGTTTCTATAGGGCATTGCTAAGTTGGATTGCATTTGTCAAAATTATTTGGTTGCTAGACGTCTAAGTGCCTGCAAGGAAACTGATAGTCCCAGCCTCAGATGTCTGAGGCACACACAAAATTGTAAACACGTCAGGGATCCGTACAAAAAATTAAAGGGATAGTTCACCCAAAAATTAATAATAGCCCGTTTTTCACTTGTAGCAATTTTCTGTTGTTGTAATTATGTTTGCTTAGTTTTCACCAAAACTCACACTGTTTTGCTGTAGATTATTAAACTCTTAAACTGCCTCAGAAGTCTGTCTGTCTGAGGTATCGTGCACAAAAGCTGCCTGCAAAGTCATTGGCTGTTAAGGCTGCCTGAGTTTTCAGACGCAGCCCTGGAGTTTTAAAGTTGTTATATGATTGGTTCAATTCCACAGGATCTCCATAAGATGTGTGTTCTTTAACAGTCCATTTGGAAACAAAGACGTGACTCATGGAATAAAAAAGCCTTCATGTTTACAGCTGTGACAATGAACATTTATCATGGTCAACTAAACATTTCATTTCACATTTTATATGTGAAGTTCATGGCATAGACTCTGTAAAAGACATCCAGAAATTTTACACACCAGTCTGTTATGGTAGAGAACAAACTTGAACAAAACAAACTGTGGCTTTAAAACAAATTTGTGGCTTTACATGTCAGTCGGACGGCATCTTCGACCGTGAAGGTGTGGATACGTGAGACTCTAATCTATAACTGATAGGGAGTTGCTAAGCAGTTGTTAAAGCAGGGTGGCAAATCTCAAATAAAATTGTAAGTTAGATACAAAAGTGTCCAATCCTCCCCAGTCTAGGGTTGGGGATGTCAGTGACAAGGATAAAAAGAAACTAAGGAACTATATTTTTTAACAGCTGCGTCCCTTGTCCCGTCCAAGCTCACAGACAATCATTACAGGCAACGCATTCTCACCCCAAGGCGTCACCTTTGACCATGCTTCAATATTTGACGTTTTAGGCGCCCTTTAGCGGCAGTTACATGACGCGATCCTACGGCGTCATTTAACTGACGCTAAAGGAAAGCGTCTGTTAGATGACGCGGTTAGGTTTAGGTCTGGGGTGGGGGTAGGGTTACACGCGATCCTAGGGCGTCATCTAACTGACGCTAAAGGGCGCCTAAAGCGTCAGATATTGAAGCATGGTCAAAATGCTTCCCAAGGCGTCAGTTAGGTGACGCCTTGGGGGTGAGAATGGGCTGTTACAGGACAAGAGTATCGTCGCAGAACAATTGTGTGGATCTTCAGGAGAGGTTCAGGCCAAAATAATAAACAAAAATTAATCTGGATAAATGGATGAAACTTACCTATCAGAGAAAAAAAGAGATTTCAAATAGTAACCTCCTCCCATCAGTTTCCAAAATAAATATTCGTTACAAAGAAACAAGGAAAAATATCTCAATCACAGAAATGAAAGCTTAACATACAAAAGTAACAAAAAGTGTACAGTCTTTTGATCTTTAGGGGCCAGTGAAAACACTGCAACTCATGATAACTCTTGAAATATGTCTAACAGCTACAAGCCAACAGCTACCAACACTACAACAATAACTGGATGTCTGGGGCAGGAGACGGAGGACAGAACGGGAATAATAATCACTCCATCACTGCTGTCTTTCCCAGCATTTGAGCATTCAACGCAATCTTCCGCAGCTGATTCCAATGGGCTATATGCACGCATAAGTTCCGCATTTGACGTAAGGATGCTCGTCCATTTCCGGTTGTGTAGATTAAAGCGGAGGAAAACCGGAGAAAACGGGATTATGGCAGAGTCTTCAATATTTACTGTCCTCCCGTCTTTGAAACGAAACGTACATACGTTTAGATGTAATTTTATATATAGTTATGTTTATTTAATATAATTTTAAAAAGAAGCATAAACACAACGAGGGGTGTCTGTTTTATCTGTTTTTGTGACTAACGTTTCATTAGTATAACCATGGAGTATAAAATTCAATATAAATTCTCGGTATTGCATTGGACTCTATGATCGGCGGAAGTTATCGAGCATCCTTAATCCTTCACCGGAAATAACGCCGTGCATAGAGCCCATTAAGCACGTGTGATGCACAGAGAAAGAGAGAGAACTGCACACAATAAACAATATACATCACATTACAAAGAATGTAAATAAACAACAAAAAAATAAACTTCACATCCAGGGAGGTATAAGTAAGAATTTAGTTTTTTTCTGCAACTGTTTTTACTGCCGAACAGCCAGGTTCTCGACCAATGCAATAATCTCAAAATGACCAAATATCAGATGATTGATCAGATTATCAATATCACAAACAATTGTTTGTGAAATATTTTCCAATAAACGCTCTAGTCGTAATGCTTTATTCTGTCTATTTAATGTGCTAAATGTGTGTTGATACTGTAGTGTGAGGTGAGGTGAATATTTATGCTGTTTTGCTAAATGAAGGTATTTCTTTCAGCTGAAGAGACGTAGAGATCTGGAAAGACAGAAGGATGTCCTGTGGGCTGGACTACAGGTTGTGGAACAAACACAACTGTGGTACCAGAATCGCCTGCAGCTGAATTTACAAAGGCACATTAGCTTTACGGGAGACATGGAAGGAGAGGTACGTTCCGTCACAAAACACACCTGAGTAAAGCAGTCAGTTAAAAACAGGTTTAGGGTTAGTATAAGTTGACATTTAGTTGCAGTGTGTTACCGATGTATACACCTAGAGGCCTGTTCCTACAAGACTTTAATTCAAACCCTGCACATTTCTAAATCTCAAAACCCTCTATGGCTTTTTAGAATATATATGAAGAGTTCAGATGCAAAAGCCTCTAAGTGCCATTTGAAATTTTCTTCTAAAATGATCATTTTTATCAAGCTTGTGTATTTAAGTTTAGTAATTTCACTTAAATGGCAATGATAATTACCTATTAATTGTCATTCAAGTGAAATTACTGAACTTAAATATACAAGCTTGATAAAAATGGTCATTTTAGAAGAAAATTTCAAATGGCATTTAGAGGCTTTTGCATCTGAACTCTTCATATACAAATGCAATTTAATTTGGAAGCATAACCACTAAACATTTACAACCAACTTAGGCCCCATCCACACTACTACGTTTTTGTTAAAAAACGGAGAATTAAAACGAATACGGTCTCCGTCCACACCAGCATTTTATCTGTGTATTAGAATTGATCACATTGACACATTAAATTGACTGAAAACACGGATCACGTGACCATTCACCAACACTGGGCGGTGAAAACGGTGGCTGACGAATCAGGGAAGGACACGTCATGACTGATGACACCCAATCATAGAGCCGAGCGTGAGCCTCTGCGTTATCATTTCTAAAGTCATCTGTTTTGTCCCGTCTTCACTAAAACACCCTCCGGAGATTCAAAACGCAAAACGGAGCTGCAGCGTTTCTAAAACTTCTCCGTTTTAGGTCTTCGTTTTTTCCGTTTTAGGAGAGGGGGTTCAGCGAAAAATCGGCAGCTGGCTGCAGGAAGTAGCTGCCGTTGACAGCTGACCGTACCTGCCAATAAAACCAGATGTCAGCTGCTGCTAATAACCGGAAATCGGAGGTGTATGCCGGTTTTAACTTATTATAATTATAAAATTATACATTAATTTTGTATAATTTTAGTAACTATTTACATAAAATACTTTAAGTAGTAATTATTATTTTATATTATTCGTTTAAATTCAAGTTACAAACATCATAGACATAAGAAACACAAAGCTACACTTGAAATTATGCATTTGTATGTGTAATATAACTTATGACTATACATGTTTGTTAAATAATGAAATATATGTGCATTCATTCCTATGTACATAAACATTCATTAAACGTAATGAAAGTCCTGTCTAAAATATAAAAAGAACATTGTCTCAATGACCTTTAAGATCATATTTTGCTATCATTAAGTTCAGTTTTACACTTGCAGTACTTAAAACATTCTTGTATTTGTTTATTAAGCAGCTGTAACTTTTTTAATAGGCTTGATATTTGTTCTGAAATCAGAATGATCAGCAGTCATGAACAAGACAGTAAAATTCCGATAAAACTGGCTTGAAAAAGCCTAGCCAAAAAGTTGTATAATGTTATAGCATGGTTTAACAAGATATACCATGTTTCTAGTGTTAGAGGATAACAGTTTAAAGGACCCAGGATATGATGAACGACTAGGAGTCATGAGATTCAATCAAATAAGTAAACATTTACTGAAGAATAGTTTGCAGTTTCATCGGTAGAGCCAGGCATCAAAAATCTCACAAGGAGATGGTCTAAACAATTCTACACTTATGTATAGATAGGTGCTCAAGTCAACATTAATCAAGATAATTGTCAGAGTCCAAAACTTGGTTCGGCGATGACCTTGGAAGTCGTAGAAATGCATCTCATGGTCTGTTGTTGCATATCACAAGACCTGCATTCAACACACACACACACACACACACACACACACAGTTCTTCCAAGGTTATAGAGGGCTTAGGCTCACCATTATCAGGACAAACTACCAAAACAAACTGATAAAACACTCCCTCCTCAGAAAGTAGTACAATGTTCAATTTATTCTTTAAAGAAATACAAAAGTATAATTCTGTTAATCCTATCCCATAAGGTAACCTGGTCAGCAGAAAATAGACTGATGAGGGTGTTTCTCATACTTGAGCTCTTCTATTAGATTAGCAAAGTTAAAAGGAAATAATTTTAGTTAAAGATCATCCTAACAATTTATTGTCATTGCAGTGTTACAACAAAATTACATTAGGGCATCAGTCGACAGTGCAATTTATGAGGAATAAGATCAACAAGAGCATATTTTGTAACAAGGCACAGCGGCAGATATCAAACAGGAATAATAAGATTAAAAAAAAAAAAAGTGTATGAGGCAGAGAATCAATAGTAACCAGAAAAATATGTTGTATACTTGAATGTGCTGCAGCGATGCAAAGTCCAGTCACAATTATTGCAATGTTTGATAATATGCATAATAGACAGATTAGTGAGATCAACAATAGCAAGGAAACGGGTAAAGCGACAAAAACAAGGGATAAGGCAAACAGTCACTATGAACCAGAAAATGTGTATAATTGTGTTGTGCAGCTGCAACAATGCAAAGTCCAGTTCATGGTTATTGTAGTTGTTGGGTAGTGTTAAGTGAGTGGATTAGGTGAGAAGAGGTAGCCGGGGATGGTGCTTATTCAGCAGTCTAACTGCCTGAGAAGAGGCTGTACCTCCTACTCGATTGAAGCAGGCGGAACAAGCTGTGTGCTGGTTGGAACCGATCTTATATGTCGGTAACACTTTACAATAAGGTTCATTAGTTAACATTAGTTAATGTATTTACTAACATGCACTAACCATGAGCAATACATTTGTTACGGCATTTGTTAATCTTTGTTAATGTTAGTTCATGAAAATACAGCTGTTCATTGTTTGTTCATGTTAGTTCACGGTGCATTAACTAATGTTAACAAGATTCTAATCAAGTATTAGTAAATGTTGAAAATAACATTAACAAAGATTAACAAATGCTGTAGTTAACTAATGTTAACTAACAAACCTTATTGTAAAGTGTTACCTATATGTCCTACGCAGTTAGACGAGTTGGATAGTTAAGTAGGCTTTTAGACTGGACCTGGAAGAGTGAATGAATTTTCACTCTCCAGCAGCTGACACCAATCACGGCAAAACCCTGGATGGGTGTTTTCCGAGTAAAAGCCTTGGATTTCTCCTCGTTTTCCTCTTCCAACATAACCTAGAGGATTCATAAGAAAATTGTGACATTAATATCCAAATTACCGTAATAACAGGACACATGGATGCAGCCACATGAATGACTATTCTAATTCCATTTTGTCATTAAGCACATTTTTCATAATTGATACACCTGGTAAGCAGTTCTTGTAAATGTCATTGCAGTGTCTGCAGGGCTGCAGTGTGTACATCTGATAATACTCTTGACAAGTCTTCCCTCTCCAATTTGTTACACCTGAATATTTCAATTTGAGGAGCATAAAAATGAACACGATTAAAAAGGGAATTATTGAAGACATGTTGACATAGGCTACCAATACATTTCTCAGTTACCATTTAAACCACATTTAAATCAAATGTGTAAAAGTAAATACATACTGTCAAGCCAGCAGAAGTGTGCCCTCCTCCTAAATGAGTCTGTATCCACCAGACTTCTGAATTTAGAACAAACTAAAGACAGATTCAACAATCCAGAATCCCCCTCCTCAAGGACCACGTGGATTTCAGACAGGACAGCGTCCGGCAACTATTGGGTATTACAAAAAACAAAACAAAAAAAATGAATACTACCATTTCCAAACACCATGACCTAACCTCCATTGGTGCAAATTATGCATCCTATGGGTGCAGGTAATACCTGAAAACATTTAATTCAACAATAATATGCCATAAAGCTACTATGATAGTTTGTGAGATAATAAAGGCTTTGAAATCTGTTAAATCTTTGCTTCTGTCATATTGAATGTACTACTACCATCAAGATTTCGATGTTCGGTACTTGTCCTGCCTCCTCTTGTTCTGTCTCTTCACTGACTGGCATGGCTGATGTGCGCTTCCTCTTTCTAAAAACAAAAACAACATGCATTTCATTACCAAACATTACTTAGAATAGGTAAATAAAAACTATTTTGGAAACAATATAAAAAACTATCTATACCTTCCATGTGTGATTTTTGACAGTATCAGATTCACCCACCACCGCCTGTTATGGGCCATATCATTCTGAAAAGCAAAAGATTAATTTTGAAATGGATGTTTAAAATGTCCAAAAGTAATACCTTTCCTAAAAATATTAAGAGACGGGATAGTGCTTACCTGGGTAAAGTCAAACTCCCATTTAAACACCATGTACAGTGCATACTGTCAAACAGAGAACACATTTTAAAGGGGTGGTTGATTATGATTTAACTTTTCTAACTTTAGTGTAATGTTGCTGATTGAGCATAAACATATGAAATATGATAAGTTATGACGATCAAAGCTAATGGAAATTCTCTTTATATAGAAATCATTTAAAGGACTACAACAAACAAATGGTAGGGACTACACAACCTTCCTCCTGGGCTAGTGACACTCACAGACCCTTAAAATGTACATAAACCCGCAACACAACAAAGGGCTCTATAGAGAGCATCACAGTCCCGCCCACAGCCGGTGCTGGAAGTAAAAATTCAATACAATTTCTCCATTAACAGTTGAGATATAAGCCATAAAAACATAACCATACATGGTAGACTTAAAACCAGCTAATTAAATCTTTCGATCGGCAGGAGCAGGATTGAGCACACCTGAACTAGCTTATTAAACTAAAGCAGGCACAGATACACTGTCTCTAAAAAGTTAAAATCCAATTTATAGAGCAACAATTATTTATTAATCTGATTCATTTACGAACTTACCAAGCCAAAAGCCGCCGCCATTACTGAAAACTCGCGGGCCTGCTGTCTCTTAAAGGGTTAGTTCACCCAAAAATAAAAATTAAGTCATTAATTACTCACCCCCATGCTGTACCAACCCCGTAAGACCTTCGTTCATCTTTGGAACACAAATAAAGATATTTTTGATTGAATCTGAGAGCTAGATCAGTCCTACATAGACTGCCTAAGGGACTGGCTCTTGACGGCCCATAAAGTCATTAAAGAAAATGTTTAAATATTCCATGTGCCTACAGCGGCTCAATTATAAGTTTATCAAGCGACGAGACTACTTTTTGTGCGAAAAAAACATAAATAACGACTTTATTCCACTATTCCATTACTTCCTTATGGGCGCATGCGCGAGAACTGAGACGAGGACGTTCTCATTCGTCTACTTCTTGTTACCGGCTGCTCACGGCTTAGGAGTTTTACCGCCCCCTACCGTATAAGATGATGTGCTGATATAGCTGGAAGCGCAAAACTTTCTGTTTACAAGCAGAGGAAGATGCGCGCTGTACATACGCTTTTCAATTTGCGTATTTTCCGCACTATAAGGTGCATTTAAAAGCCTTTAATCTTCTCAAAAAACGACAGTGTTCCTTATAATCCGGAGCGCCTTATATATGGATCATCATTTTATGCGGTAGGTGGCGGTAAAACTCCTAAGCGGTGAGCAGCCGGTAACAAGAAGTAGACGAATGAGAACGTCCTCGTCTCAGATCTCGCGCATGCACCCATAAGGAAGTAATGGAATAGTGGAATAAAGTCGTTATTTATGTTTTTTTCGCACAAAAAGTAGTCTCGTCGCTTGATAAACTTATAATTGAGCCGCTGTAGGCACATGGAATATTTAAACATTTTCTTTAATGACTTTATGGGCCGTCAAGAGCCAGTCCCTTAGGCAGTCTATGTAGGACTGATCTAGCTCTCAGATTCAATCAAAAATACCTTTATTTGTGTTCCGAAGATGAACGAAGGTCTTACGGGGTTGGAACAGCATGGGGGTGAGTAATTAATGACTTAATTTTCATTTTTGGGTGAACCAACCCTTTAACTTTAAGGTACATGTGATTGGTTGCTGCTACATTGGAGGATACTGATTGGCTGCCACGACCTGGCAGGTCGCTCCTAATTTGGTAGGGCTTCCGGCTGTCAACGGCAGCTACTTCCTGAACCCCTACTGCGTTTTAGTCTGGACCGGAGGTGCAAACATAGCAAAAGGTCTCCGTTTTTAAACAAAAACACAGTAGTGTGGACGGGGCCTTAGAAAAAAAAATAGAACTAAACCCCCATCTAACATATTTTTCCCAAAAGTCAGATTTCTAAGGCTTGTTTTGATTAGCCAGGAGAGTTTTCTTTACAGACATAAAACATTCTATTTAGGTTAAAAAAAAAATCAAAATGTGTGGTGCTGTGGATCTGGTGTAACTGTTATCTACTATCAGAGTACTACTATGAAATTGATGTTTCTTAAAAAAAACTTTATTATCTGAGGTTGAATGGCTATCAATGAATACAAAGTTTTTTTCCCCCCAAATAATGGTTTCATTTTGGCATCAACCAGAGGGTACTTAATGTTGCCATCACAAGCCAACACAGAAGATCGTCTTTCCCATTTCTGTAATTGTGATTGTATGTCACTTCAAGTGAAAAGAATACAAAACTGAGGCTTGTATCATGATGGTAGTTAAACAAACTTATATGATTATAGGATTAGTTTTGAGTTTGATAAGTGTCTGCACATGAAAAGATGAAGTCAGTAGCGAACAACCAATCACATGCCTTAAAATAATATAGAGACTGTGATTCACTTCTTTCCTCTCTTTGAAAATATGAAGAATTTAAATGCATTTACATTGTAAGAAGAAAATATTTTAAATAAAACTATACTAAACTTTTTTTATTTGTAATATATTTGATTTTCATTTTTGACATTACTGTCCGAAATGTGTAAATAATGAACCTATACCTGACAGGGCCATTGCTCCTGTGCTCTGCGGTCCTGTATGCAGCGTGTTAACGGGAGTATGGGTAGTTTGATGAGCGACTCCTGTATCTGGAATAATCTGGCCCCAGAAGAGACTGGAGGTTCAGATTGGGACCTCCGGTGGAGCAATGCCACACTGGTCAAGGTATTGATAATAATAGTGGTATTTTTGTTGTTTTTGTTTCTGCTGTGCAGTATCAGATTCAGCATAACATGTGTTGATTTTATATACAGGAAGTTAATCGACAGAATCAACGGATTTCCATGTTGGAGCTTCAGAAGGCACGACTTCAGCAGCTGTTGTCTTATAGCACATCTGATTCATCATATCCACACATTTACAACTGTAATCACAAAATGGTTTCAACCAAATCAAACAGAGAATTGTAAAAAGTTAAAATAGCTTTGAAAACACTGAATGTTAAAATTAATTTAAGGGCCTGAGTGTGCTCGTTGTACCATGGCATTGACTATTTTCTTTAATCTTCTTTAAGCGCAAAGGAGCAAATGTGTCTAAAGTGCTGGAAAAGAGAAAGTCATATGTTTCTGTCGCAATATTGATTTCTTCTAAGCTATCTGCGATGCTGAGGAGATGAAACTGATCAGGAATATTGTTAATAAAGAAGTGATACAGTAGATCATACATATTCAGCTTTGCAGCCTTGGCTAAATTAAGTATACACAAGACTAGATAATGATCTGAGATGACATCGATCCGTTGCAGAATTTCAACGGCATCAACATTGATTCAATTTGATATTATTAGATCTAATATGATTATGACAATGAGTAGGTCCTGACGTGTCTAACTCCAATAGAGTTCAGAATGTCTCTAAATGCCAATCACAATGCATCTTTTTTTGTTATCCAATAATGTATATTGTATATGTATATTAATATCAATATAAGTCTATGGGTGACGTCGCAGACGCTTTGTCCATATTTTGTACAGTCTATGGTAAAACCATACCTATATATTTTGTATTGCTATATATATTAACAACTCATCAATTAAATATTTATCATTGCATATTCTGCATTATTGGATGTTTTTTTAATAAACACCGACCAAAAAAAACGATAAAGTTTTAGGGCTGGACGATATGATGATGTATGTAGGCTATATATAACACTGATATAAGTGATCACCCGGATTTAGACCTACCTATATTGTAGTTATATAAACGTTCACAGGCAAATTTGCTTTATGTTTAGGTCTATATTGCTTTTATTTCCCCGGTGACGAAATCAGGCAAACATAAATGTCAGGCAACACGATTCCTGGCTGCATGTCAATATCCATGGATCACTGGATCTTTAGTAAGTTGTAAGGAACACTATATTGAGTCCAACATTAAGTTTAAATTGATCAAATTGCTCGTTTTAGTCGCATTTTCGCAGTTTCCCCTATTAAATCCAGTCACGCAGCAGATCTTTTGTCACTCAGTCAGGCTGAGGGGGGTTGTTCCGGCGGGAAAGTGACGTCAATGCATTCCCTCTATAGGCGCGATGGAGGACGAAGGATACACACAGTGGAGAAATGTGGGGTGAACAGTGCTGGCATGAATGCAGGGTTGTTACAGAAATAAATCTGTGTTTGAAGACATTTCTCGAGATATGAGGTACGGTTTTAAGCGCTTGTGTCTATAGTGCCAACAAAGGCTGTTCTCTTTTTCTCCGCCGTACAAGACCAATGTTTTGCTGACTTTTTAGATGACTTTTCAAAATAATGTGCATATCAAAACACTGTGACCGTGTATTTGTGTGTTCTGGGTATACAAACAATATTCTCAAATATTTTACAACACACTTATGTATGTAATGTCTGTAGTAAGTGTAATTCTGAACAAAAAAGGCCTAAGTCATTATGATGAATGTATAAGAAGTGTTTTACATTGATCAAAGTGTTTTACATTGAGCACATCACTGTTCAACTGGTTCTTATAAATGTCTATTCATATGATGGATTGTGTGTGTCATTTGAAAACAAAATACCATTTTGAGAATATATAACATTGTTTTGAATGTAAAGTTTCATTTTGCACTAGAATCGAGGGGTTTTGCCGATTGTGTGTGTGTTTTTAGATTTGTGTGTAGAGTTCTAAGAGTATGAGGCATACTTGCAGGAAATGTGTGTAAACAATCGAGAAAAACTGTAATTCTGGATAGTCAAACTTAGCGTTTAAATGTTAAAGGGCTTGCCATACAGGGACAGAGGCTCAGAGAGACTCTCACCATATTCAAACCAAAATATCGGACTTTCTGTTGGTTGGAGCTAATGACTGTAAATTAGAAAGTTGTTCGACAATATTGTTGCTCGGTTATTGTACAATATACGTACGTGTTACTGTAGATAAAACTAATCCCCCCACTTTTGACAGAAGGTGGCGCTACTGAGCCCTCACCACGCCCATTTCTGAAACTTTGCACGTCTACTGGCTAAAAGTGTAATGTATCTGTTGAGTTTCAAGCAATTTCAAGAAGAATATTAAAGTTTGATGCATTTCCACGGAAACAGTATCTAAGAAATCAATAATCTTTTTACAGGTCTACATCTGCCGTGTGTTTACATTATACACATAAAGTTTGAAGCAAATCGGATAAAAATAAGAGGGTGATTTCAAAGCATTTTGATAGTGACACTTCCTGCTGCCAGTTGGTGGCACTATAACTTTGACTCACAATAGTCACATCCATGTGATTGGCCTCTTACAACGAACACACTGTGGAAGTTTCACCAAGATCAGTTAATGTATAAAGAAGTTATAACACTTCCTGTTTCTCTTTTCATGCCATAATTTCATTTCCTCGCCACAGCTAAATCATCTACGGATGAGGTATCAAAAATCTGCAGGCAATTTTTCATCCTCAATATCTTGACTTCATGCTGACTGAGTTTTGTTGCATTTTTTTTAATTCTCTAGGAGGAGTATTTCAAAATCCATTGCATACGTTTTCCAAACAACCCTAAATAACCGACTTCCTGTTTGGCTGGCGTAAAAATTAGAGCGCAAAAGTTGTTTGCCCCGATGAGATCTATAAGTGTACCGAGTTTCATATTACATGCAAGTGTGTTTGATTTATGGACCAAGTTTGTAGACCCTGTTCCAGGGGGCGTTGTTGAGCCCCCCTGCCACGCCTGGGTACCAGCTTCAGCCTGGCCCCGATGGCCGCAGTTTCTGACCCGTGTGCAGTTTCAAGAGTTTGAGCACGTTAAGAGCCCCAAAAGTGCCGAATAGTCGTTCGAAAATTTTTAAAAAAATGTATCCTAAGGAAAACAATAGCCCTATTCAGATGGTAAGCCCCTTTCAGGGCTTGGGCCCTAAAAATCTCGTGTTTTTTCCAAAAGATTTTTTCTGAGGCTTTAGAGTTATTAGGTGATTATTTTGACTGGCCTGGCTTGGCAATGATGGCAAATTTCAAAAGTTGTTCTTAGGAGAAGTCCTGCCAGGGTTTGAGCAAATTAACTACCATTGATATGAATGAGAATTTAACCAATCCCAACTTTTAGCTTTTTGCTGAGCATTTATCATAGTCAAGTCACCTCTATTTATATAGCACTTTAAACAATAGGGATAATACAGAGTTATCTTGTGGCCAATGAACGAACATGGTTTCATTATGATTCAGGCTGCATAATAATGGAAGTTAAGCTTTAAAACACTTCAAATCACCAAATGATTTTGCAGAATGAGTCACTACGAGTCACACTGAGGACATCTGCTGGTCACAGATGTCCACATGCTATGGAAAGACTCAGCAACTGAGCTACTCAACTCAGCAACTACATTTACAAAATAATTTGGGGAACAGAAATGTTACTTAAACAAAGAGGTAACATGGCAGTGACAATGTCATGATTTAATTTGATTTATTTAATTGTATCAAGAATGCCTTTACACATTAAACAAAAAAGGCATCAAATACAATCGAGAATAAAAACATTTTAATGTCCAGGAGGACTTATTTATATAGTGGTCCTCAACACATAACATCAGGTCAAGACACTTACAGGTTGTGTGATAAAATCAATGACATCCCATAAAAACATTTTTCTTAAATAAAAACCGTAACTGGCCCCTGGTTCTATTCTGCTACCCTCATAACCAGGCCATGATTTTCTTTTTGAAAGAGTTCATGCTGGAAATGACATTAACCCTGTAAGACCCAAATATAGAAATTGTTTTCACCTGTCAGATGTTGTTGTAGGAGGAGGCCTCTGATGCAAATAATGAAGGATTTTAAAATATATATATATTTTAGTAAGTTTTTAAGGAAATGTTGTAATATTGCAACGTTGGGCCTATTAGTCACGGGGACACACAGGAAAAGTAAGTAGATCCAAATGCAGTATGGCAGTAGGTGTTTATTAAAGCGTAATCCAACTCATAGTCATCCATGCAGGGGTCAAAATCCATTTTACCAGTCCAATAAACAAATAAACAAGAAACAAAACAAGAATAGGCAAGAAAAGACCTTGGAAGTTGGTCTTTTGGAAGTTGGAAGTTGGAAGACCATTGGCTCGTTTTTAAATACTCGAAGAGGATTGGCTTTCTATGCGAAACCCCCAATCTCCGTCACTTCTGACGTAACTCGAAGTGACTACGAAAGGGAACTACAATTTACTTCAACCAGGCGACAGAATGAACTCATCTCGATCGTGGAGGTGGAAAAATAAGTTTTGTGAAATGCAAGATCTATTGTTTTAAAATTAAAATGCAAAAGAAAAGGCAAGTCGGCTGCTTTTGTCAATTTCAAGTTTTAATTTAAATTATTTTCGATTTTAATATAGGAAATATTTGACCTCTTGCTTGAGCAACTTGTAATGCATGGAGTAATAGCCCTAACTTACATTGTTTAAATTGTGTTTAAACGTGCATACCAAGAATCGCAATGCTGACACATCTTTTTGCTTTTAAAAATAAGTTGCAGCATAACTTTTGGACTTTAAATAAAAATATTAAGTATGTGTACTTTGTTGTACAGCCGCGGATCAGTTATTCACTGACTGTGCAAACACATCATAATGTGAACGCACTAACAGCACGCTCCTGCACCGCAATACACACTGCAAACGGGTGTGAAACGGACGTTAGATCCACCTACAGTTCTTAGAAACTTAGATGTGTTTAAGAACTCTTTTTTTCTTACAACAGCAGCACTCATCTTGTTTGTTTATTAGTGGATGCGGGTGACCAGTCGTAGACCGGAAACTGATACGCCGACTTCTGACAAAAGCGGAAGTTCGAAACTACAGTTGTGCACATAGCCTATTGGGGAGCAGAATTTCAACATTTGCACTCACACTGTCAGAACAAATATACAGAACAACTAAGGGCTTATTTGAAGAGTGGATTGCTTACATTTATTTTTTATTTTATTTTATTTATTTATTTAGAAAAGGGACAGTGTACATTAATAAACATTCTTAAATGTAAATGTACCCAAATTAGCCCAAAGGCTAGTTTTCATTGGTAGTCCCTTTGCCAGATGTTATTAGGCTCTTAACTAGAAAAAAAAAAGAGTTAAAAATTACAGCAATACAACAGTCATAAAACTAGAAGTATACAAAAAGACAATGTATATACAGACACAATTAAACCAAAAAAAAAAAAGAAATTAAAAATAATTTAATTAAGTATGAAAGAATAGGTCTATAATAAAATTAATAATAAGGTTAGTAATAATAATAATAATAATAATAGAGGAGCAGCGTTAATGTTCACAGTGTTGGTTATGTAGAAGCCATTTCTTAAAATTAAGCTTAAAAGAGTTAAATGATGAGCACTCTCTAATTTGAGGTACTGTATTCCACTGATGTGAAGCTTTGTGTGAGAAAACAGCTTAACCGAACGATGTTTTCCTATGTGGAATTATACAATCCGCTTTAATTGCACCTCTTGTAATTCTGTTTTCAACAGATTTAGATTTAATAAAATCTGCCAAAGGAGGTGCAGCAAAACCATGCATAATCCTATAAACTAAACAAAATTTTTTAAATTTGATAAGATTTTCCCAGTTAA